CCTAACCTATTAGCTCTAAATCAAAAGTAAACCATCATCTCTCCCCTGGACTCTGCAGTTGCCTCTTGGCCTGTTTTCCTGTTCTTCTTGCTTGCTCCAGATTCTTATCTCTGCCACCCCCAGAGTGAACTCTTTTCAAAACATAAACCAGATCACATCACTTCTCTTTTTAAAATCTTCCAATAGCTTCCAGTTTCACTTTGAATAAAATCCATCCTCCTTACCACGTGTGGTCGTCAAGGTCCTGCAAGTTTTGAACCCAGCTCACATCTCCAGGCAAATTTCAAGTCTCCATCACCCTCTTCCTGACTCACTGGCCTCTTGCTATTCCTCAAAAATACCAGCCCCTTGGCACATCATGGCCTTAACATACACCTTCCCTTTGCCAGGAACTCTCCCAACCAGCCAGCTGAAAAACCCCTACTCTGCCTTCACATCTCAGCTAAAATCACACTTCCTCAGGGAGGCCTTTCCTGACCATCCATCTAAGGCAGATAGCACCTGTTATTCTCCCCTAAAGCACTTGTTCTATTCCTTCACAGCCCTCACCCTCTTGTTATTGCATCTTACTTATGCTTATTCCTCTTCTTCAATTTTAGTATGACAAAAGACTAATTTTCTAGTTGTGGAGAGAGTGAATTAGGTCATTTTTCCTTTAGATGAATGGTCCTTTACCCAGAAACAAAGGTTCACATAGTAAGGATAAAACTATGAGAAAGCTTTAATGCCTTCCCTGTCCCTCACAAGACCCACTGGGGAAGAAAAAGAAGCATCCTTAGTCACACAAGAGTTGAAATTTCTATTGCTCACCATGCCTGCTAGGTACCCACTGATGAGGTTTTCACTGCCCAAGAGTCAGAGGGCTCAGAAGGTCAGGTCCTTTCCGGTCTGGCCAGAAGAATAAAATTTCTATAAGCAGAACCCAGCGGGCACAACAGGTGTGTGCCATGTACACTCCTTACCCTCTGCTGTCTAGCCATCTGGGACTTCTCCTTGTAGCTTACGGGTGTAGTCATGACTCTTACCAGCAGTTCACACAAGGTGACCTGGTGTTTAGAGAGTGGGCTGCCAATCCTAGCCATCCTGCCACATCAAGGACAGACAGATCTTCAGGGGAGAAGCACCCCAGACAAATTAACCCATTAATCCTTTTGAAACAGATAGCTGAATGCCAGTCATTTATTTGCCTTTAAAAATACAGCATTAGCTCTTAAAATCATACTGTTTACTGAAGACCAGTTTTGTCAGCCAGTTTTATATCTAAGACCTATAGGTTTTACCCAGTCCAGGTGAGACTTTGTCTTAAGTACTCTGGACATGTTATCAGGAGGAATCAATCCCTAGAGAAGGTCATCATGCTTGGTAGAGTGTCAGGGAAAAAAAGGAAGACCCTTGGTGAGATGGATTGACACAGTGGCTGCAACAATGGGCTCAAACATAGCAACAACTGTGAGGATGGCACAAGACTGGGCAGCGTTTTGTTCTGTTGTACACAGGGTCACTATGAGTCGACACCAATTCAACGGCACCTAACAACAACAAAGGGAACAGTTTGGTGCCCAAAGAAAGAAAGTGGGATGACAAAGTAGTTTTAGCTGAATGAGCCAAGGAACAAATGGAGACTCCCAAAATTCTCTAAGATTTCCCAATGGATAGTAACTGCTCCTTGGGGATACGGAACCATGTCTGTCTCATTTCACCACTCATAGTCATACTCAGTGCATAGGACAGTGTCTAGCTCATAGTAGGTGCTCAATAAACATTGCTGAATTAATTAATTAAAGTTTCTTCCCATCCCACACTCCAACTGGTCCTTCAAGTCTCAGCTTTATATAACTTTATCAGGAACTTCTTCCCTCATCAGTGTAGTTCAGGATCTTCTTCTATGAGCTCTCCTTCACATACTAATCACAGTGATAATTAATCTGGGTGATTGTTTAATTTCTGACTTCTCCACAAGACTCTTGTCTCTGTTATCTCTGGCATCTAGAGCACACAATAAGCACTTGACAAATGTTTGTTGAATGCTTTAATAATTGTATTTCTTTGTTAAAATTAAGCTTCGTTAGAAGTTTCTATGCTTCTTAGTCAGAACAAAGTAAACTTTCAGTCCCAAAGTTGAAGAAAGTAAGAGATAAGGGACCTAGGAAGAGCCTGGGTCCCCATTACCAGTGATAGTAATAAATTTCATGGGAAGCACAGCTCCATTCCAGAAAGAGAGGAGTGAGAATCATGAATGGGTTAACAGTTTGAGCTGTGTAACTTGTGTATCTCAGCATTTCCATGGAGACCAAACAGAACCCCATAATAATTGAGGCCTGATGCCAGCTCCACAGAGACAAGGGTTCTGCCATGAAGAATTTACCCCATAATTATCTGTGGACAACATGCCCTTAGATGGGCATGTACCATTCACCAAAAAGCCTCTTGAGCCCAACTGAAGATTCATCATATGAGTCTGCATCAGTTGATGTCTGTCCTTTAGTCCAGTATAGATGGAAGATCAATTAATTAGGTTTCCACATCTATTTCCCCAGGAAAGTGGTCTAACAGTGACACTGTGATGAGGCAGAAGTAATAGCAGCCTTCTGAGAAACTGGTGACCCCTGAATGTCTGGGGAATATCCCGTGCCAGCTCATCTCTGCCCTGAGGAGATCTGGGGATGTGCTGGTGACACAGTAAGGAAGCACAATTGGGGAGATTGGTTGTTGGAAACATGGAGTTTTGGTTAACACATGCAGTACAAAGAGGACAGGACCTGCCTATGACCGTGATCTGCAGACCATGTTATAGCTCAGGAGCATCCTTCACTTTAAAACTCTGGTGAGTCCATCAAAAAGTGTAGTCTTCAGGCAACATTGCAGCTCCAGGAGCTTTCCGTGAAAACGGCATCTTCATCATCAAAACCTCCTGGGAAGACAATCAACACCTCACCTAGTAGCTAGTGAGGTAACCTGCATTTGGTGCAATTTTTAGAACAGGGAAGGGGAATCTGATCCCTATGGACACTCTGCCTAGAGGCCTGTCTTCTGTTTTTAGCACAACTAGCAAGCTGTGGCACAGCTGACAATTTTCATCACTCTCAATATCCTGACTCATACTCAGCTGATGAGTCACTAGAATCCTTTATCCTTTTTCCTGCCCTTCTCATGGGCAACCATTTGTTTCCCCTTTGTCTCTCATGAAATGTTCTACCTAACTCTTAACCCAAATGAGTCATTGTGTTGATTTCTTTTTATTTTTAATTTAATTTACTCTACATACAATAATAAAAATAATAAAAAGGGTAAGGAAAAATCATCCACAATCCTATTCTTACATGTCAATTATGTTCATTCGTCCATGTTTCCATCGAGTCCTTCTCCATAAAATACATATTTCACAGAGCTATAATGTAATGTGCTACCTTTCCTCTGATGTAACTTTATCACATTAGTTACCCCTCTTGTCCTGAGTAAAGTCAGCCCTTCTCTTCAGAAGCCAGGCCATAACCTGTTATTTCTGTAAGAACAACCAGTGACAAGGTTTCCTACTTCTTTATCTGGATCTCTTAAGGATAATATTAAACAATGGAAGACCTAGAAAAAATAATTATTTAAAACCAATAATGTATTATAGTCTCTCTGATTGAAATTGAGCCAATGAACAATCCTAAATATCAGCATTTATTATCATTATTTATTTTTATTACTGAGAAAATTATCCAAAAGTATTAAACATGACACCTAATTTGCAAGTGCACGCTCTCACCTCCCTCTATATATCAATCTCATAGACCATGTATCCCTCAAAAATATCAGACTAATGATACATTAACAAAAAGTTTGTAATAACATGAGAAAGTTTGCTACAGTAATATGTGGGGGGAGAGGTGTGCAAAATACATAATCTATGAGCATAATTATGTAAACCAGTAATTAAACAGCAGATAAGAATAGAAAAAGATAAAACAGAAATGCATCAAAATGTTAAAAGCAGCTGGCTCTGTGGGACTACAAGTGATTATTTTATTCCTCTGCATTTCCTACACTTTCCACAATGAGCTGATAATATTTTTATAGTTCTAAAACTTCCAAGACATAGTGCCCAAAACCCCACTATCTTTTCTCCAATTTTACTTATTCTTATTATCCTACTAGAATTTTAACCACAAATGAGAAATTAAAGTAGCTAACATTATGTGATGCTTATTCTAAAGCCAACATATGCTAAGTAAGGAGTCCTGGTGGCACAGTGGTTAAGAGTTCGGCTGCTAACCAAAAGGTCAGCAGTTTGAATCTACCAACCGCTGCTCGGGAACCCTATGGGGCAGTTCTACTCTGTGCTCTAGGGTTGTTACGAGTCAGAACCGACTCGACAGCGTATAACAACATAACATGCTAAGTAATGGCCGAGCACTGTTTAAGTTCTAGGAGAATCCTTTTACATAGATACTGTTATTCCCACTGATGAATTAGAGGCTTGGTGAGTTTAGCTAACCAGCCCTAAATAAGATATTAAGTGATGGAGCTCAGGTGCAATCACAATCTCTCTAAAATGCATTCTGTAACAAGCTCTAGAGTAAGCATTCCATCAATGCTTTCAATAAAAGTCTGTGAATCACTGAATGTGGGATTTGGGGAAGGAAATATTTTAATGGATTGAGAAACTCCTTCCAGCATTTGGAGGAATATAGGGAAAGACATCATCTGATCAAAAAAGAAAAGAATGAAGGGGATTTAATACAACTTCATTAAAAAAAATAAAGAAAATGGAAAAAGAATTGGTAAAGTCAAAACTTTTTCAACAAAATCTCAAGCATGTCATGAATCCTAAACTCGCTCAAATTTGAGTAGATGCTGAGTACATGAGAGATCTAAACAATCAGCCTAAGGAGAGAGACCGAAAGAGGCTTGTAGCCCAAAGGAATAAAGGAGTCCTTCAGCTCAAACTCTGACACTTATTTTTCTTTTCTTTCAGCTCCAGGCTGTCCTCAGATGCCCAGAGCATCACAACCCTGATGTTGAACACCTCTGATTGGCTGTCCCCAGCTGAGATCAGAGGAACCATGGGCAACAGCACCACTGTCACTGAGTGTGTCTTGCTGGGGCTCTCAGATGCCTGTGAGCTGCAGATGCTCATCTTCCTGGGGTTCCTCCTGAACCACCTCCTCACTCTCCTGGGGAACCTCCTCATTGTGATCATCACCCTCATGGACAGACGCCTCCACACTGCCATGTACTACTTCCTCCACAACTTTGCTATCTTGGAGATCTGGTTCACCTCACTCATTTTCCCCAAGATGGTGACCAATATCCTGACAGGATATAAGACTATCTCCCTAGCAAGTTGTTTGCTCCAGTTTTTCTTTTATTTCTTCCTGGGTACCACAGAGTTCCTCCTACTGGCAGTGATGTCTTTTAACAAGTATGTGGCTATCTGTAACCTCCTGCGCTATGCCACCATCATAAGCAAAAGGGCCTATGTCCACTTGGTCCTTTGTTCATGGAAGGCAGGATTCCTTCTCATCATTTTTCCTAGTTCAATCACATTTCAGCAGCCATTCTGTGGCCCCAATACCGTTAATCATTTCTTCTGTGACAGCTTTCTCCTCCTGGAACTCGTACGTGCAGACACAAGTCTGATAGAGCTTCTGGGCTTTATTGTGGCCAACTTCAGCTTACTGGGCACTCTGTCCGTGACAGCCACCTGCTATGGCCACATCCTCCACACCATCCTGCACATCCCCTCACCCAAGGAGCGGCAGAAAGCCTTCTCAACTTGCTCCTCGCACATCATTGTCCTGTTTCTCTTCTATGGCAGCTGTATCCTCATGTATATCCAGTCAGGCAAGTGCAGCCAGGGGGAGGACAGAAGCAAAGTGGTGGCCCCGCTCAACACTGTGGTGACCCTTATGGTCAACCCCTTCATCTACACCCTGAGGAACAAACAGGTGAAGCAAGGGTTTTTGGAGAAAGTGAGCAAGCTTCTCTCATAAAGATTAGCTGGACTTGAGAGTGGGGAAAGTAGCCTCCTTACCTGAATCTCTGCAAACTAAGCACCTGTTCTGATGATCTCCATGAACTATCCTCTCAGACAGTTTTGGGTATATTCTAATTCACATTAGTTTCTTACATATATCTCATTATTGGCTCATTTAATCTTGTTTAGAGAGTATGGAAAATTCAGTATATCACTACTGGGTCTGGTATGTCTTAATGTTTCTTAACCTAGCCTGTAACTGAGTTTTTTAATTGTGTCTCATTTTTTAATTATATTAACATACTTAGTATTCCTTCTTTGCTAGAACCTTTAAAACTTGATAAGAATATCTATAAGAATATATTTATGCTATATTTCAGAAATAATAGTTATGTATGAAAAAATGAACGAGTAGGAATAGTCAAGAAATTCTGAGGAAAAAAAATGACTATCAGATATTAAAACACTATGCTAGAACCAACAAATTGAACAATGGAACTGGAGAGATAGTCTGGAAAGATATTGTAGTACATATAAGGATATGTAGATGTCTAATCAGTAAATAAAGAACAGTAAATTCTATAAATGATGCCGACACCATTGCCCAACCATAGTAAAGCCTGCCTTCCAAATAGATTGGGACTAGTACTTGATTGGTTATTTCGGGGAGGGGGTGGGTGAAAGCAGAACAATTTAAAAGTGATACATGCTTTAAATATATTTTTAATTAAAGCCTATAAACATATGTTCATTCAGTAACTTAAATGTGTCCTTTTCTTTGAGAATGAATGGTGATTGTTGTAGTCTTTCTTGTTTAAACTACACTCATATCCTCTATAATTTTCACGATTTGTTTCAGTAGTACAAAAATTTTAAAGATGCTTGAGAAACTATGTGTGAACAGAATCCTAGAATTTTTACTTTTTTGTTTACCTGTTTGTTGGCCAAACTATAGTTCTCGCCTATGTCTAGTTCAACATTTTTCTCTCTACTTGCCTTTATGCAATCTATTGAAAAGAAATTGACTAGTTTTCATAGAAACAACTTTCTTTTTACACTCATTTCACTGGTTATCTTATTTAGTGAAAATATGCAATTACAATAATAAGTCCAATTATCAAAAAAACCAGAAATTTGGAAACAAATACAACTAATTCTTGGTAAAAGTCAACAGGTGGGAGCAAAAATACTCATAGGTACTACAGAAGCCTACTAGCTGTAAAGGTTCAGCATGCTATAGACATCAATCAGTTTGGGAGACAGTATAACACAGAGATTGAGAACACAGCTACTAGAAACTTACTACCTGGATTCAAATCCCGTCTCAGCCACCTATTAGCCATTTGATCTTGGGCAAGCGAGACTTCTCTGTATCTCAATCATACATATGGTGATAATAACAGTACCGGCCTCAAACGAACCTCCTGAATATTAAATGAGTTAATATATGTTAGAATGCTTAGAATAGGGGCTACTATAGAGTAAGTACCATGTTAAGTGTTAGGTATTATGTTTTATAGAAGGAATGATAAGTTGAACAAATGAAGGTAAATTAAGAGATCTACTGTCTTAAAGAAAAAATTAAGTTAGAGCCTCACCTACTGTCTTAAACTGAAATTCAAAAGGAATAATATAAAACATTACAACATAAAAAAAGAAGAAAATGTAGTAAAATTTTATCTAATCAAAGATGTGTAGGAAATTTTTTAACTAATGGAAGAAATGTAAAGAAAAAAATCTATAAATTTTGCTATATAAAATTTTAGACTTCATGTCAGAAAACAGACATAAATGATATAATGGCCATATGTAGTTTCTACCTGTCTCGTATCCATGTCCCTTTTTTTTTTTTTTTTTAAACCTGTGTTTTTATTTATTTTTTTAGTATGGTAAATATATATGTAAGAAAACACTTGCCATTTTAACATTCTTCACATGTACAGTTTAGTGACATTATTTGTGTTCATTATGTTGTGCAACCATCACCATTATCTGCTTCCAAATTTTTCCATCACCCTTAACAGAAGCTCAGTGTCCCCTGAGCATTCCTTCTTCTTAAAGCAATAGAACACTTATTTTTCTCAGGAAAGCCCCTTCCCATTATCAGTCGGTGTCTTAGGCTGGGTTCTCTAGAGAAGCAAAACCAGTAAAGTGTATAAATATATATAGGGAGAGAGATTATATCAAGGAAACAGCTCACTCAATTGTAGAGGCTAGAATGTCCCAAGTCCATGGATCAGGGTACAGGCCTCTCCCAAGTCACACAGCTGCAGAAGCTGGCAAGCCCAAAATCAGAAGGTCGGAGAGCAGGGCTCCCACTCACAGGCTGTGCAGATCAACGAATCCCAGGTTTCACAGATAAGCTGACAGCTCAAGTCCCAAGAACGGGAGATGAGATGACAGGAAGCAGCTGCAGGATCCAGAGAGAGCAAAAAGCCAGAAGGTCTGCTTATATACAGATGTGGGCCACACCCCCAAGGAGACTCCCTTTTATCTGATTGGCTACTCACAGTATATTCAATCATGGGAGTGATTACATTAAAACACAGAGAATCGTGGCCCAGCCAAGTTGACACACAATCTTAACCATCACAGTCAGTGTGGCTGTGTGGTGCTGACTTCATCCGCAAACAGTCAGAGCATGGCTATGGTTATTGGCTCAGGGATGGCCACATGACCAAAATCAGGTCAGTGAGATCCAATGAGTCTCAACTGAGGGGCACTTATGGGAACTGATGGAAGACAGGCTTTCTCTGTTGGACTTGAAGCTGGGAGAAAGTAAGCCTGAGAAGAGTATAAACCACCTCCCAAATCACTTAGAGAGGATAATAAAACCTTGATGCCAAAATTGAAAACACATTAAAATACTGGAAAATTACAAACCAATCTTTCTCACACACAGAGATGCAAAAATCCTAAATATCAGTAAATTGAATGAAATGATACATAAGGAAAATATAAGGAACTTATTCCAGGAATGCAAAACTGGTTTAATATTTAAAAATCAATCAGTGCAATTCAATACATCAACAAAATAAAGAAAAAAAATATGATAGCTCAATAGGTGCAGGGAAAACATTGATAAAATTCAACAAATATTCCTTTTTCAAAAAATGGTTCTTTAGCATACTCTTGAATTAAAGGAATATCTGTAATCTACTGAAGGGTAACTAAAGAACTCTATAGCAAACTCATACTTAATGATAAAATATTGACAGATTAATTCTGAGATCAAGAATGAACCAAGGACAACCACTATCATTACCTCTTTTGTACTAGAGTTCCTAGATAATGCAGTACAGCAAGAAAAATAAAAACATTAATTACTGAGAAATGAAAACATAATACTATCATATTACCACTGACCTGATTGTTTATATAGAAATCCAACAGTAAACTCTGAGAATTAATCAACTCAGTTGATACAAATTCAATCCACACACAGGAAAAAAAAGGTTTATTTTATATACAAGCAATAAAGTCAAAAATAAAAAATTTTAATGATATTATTTACAATAGCATCAAAAAATATCAAATACTTAGAATAAATTTAACAAATACTGTACAAATTCTTTACTCAAAACACCACCACTGACCACTCAGACCGGGATCACAATAGAGGGTCCCAGACAGAGGGGTAGAAAAATGTAGACAAAAAAATCAAATTCATGAAAAAAGACCATACTTACTGGCCTAATACTGACTGGAGGAACCTCCAAGACCATGGCCCTAAGACATCCCTCTGACTTGGAACTGCAGTCATTCCTGGAAAACACCTTCCAGCCAAGCAATAAACCAAAATCAAAGTCACTGCCACCAAGTTGAGTCCTACTCATAGTGACCCTATAGGACAGAGGAGAACCACCCCATAGAGTTTCCAAGGCTGTAATCTTTACCAGAGCAGACTGCCACTTCCTTCTCTCTGGAGCTGCTGGTGGGTTGGAACTATCCAACCTTTCAGTTAGCAGCAAAGTGCTTAACCACTGCACCACTAGGGCTGCTCAGTCAAGCAATAGTCAGGCCTATAAAATAAATAATAACACCGAAAAAGAACATGCTCCATAGAACAAACAATTATACAAGACCAAAAGGGCAACATTTGCCCAAAAGCAAAGATGAGAAGGCAGGAAGGGGTAGGAAAACCAGACGAAAGGAAACAGGACACCCAGGGCAGAAATGGGGAGAGTGCTAACACAGTCTAGGGACTGCAACCAATGTTGTAGAACATCTTGTGTACAATTTGTTGAATGGGAAACTAATTTGCTCTGTAAACTTTCACCTAAAACACAATATTTTTTTTTTAAAGTAAGCAAAAAAAAACCTACAAAACATTATTTTAAAAAACAAAAGAAGGCCTAAATAGAGGGATATACCATAATAATAGATTGTAAGATTCAATATTATTTCCCAAATTGACTAGTCTAGAAACAGGCCCACATACATATATATACTTGATTTAGGATAGTCTTTTCAATAAATGGTGCTGGGTCAGTTTGATATTTATATGGGAAATATTGAAGCTTGACCACGACCATAACTAACTAAATACATTCTAGGTAGGTAGTACATCTGTCATGGATTGAGTTGTGTCCCCCAAAAATATATGTCAGCTTGGCTGGGTCATGATTCCCAGTGTTGTATGATTGTGTAATCTCATGTGATTTCCTTATGTGTTGTAAATTCTATCACTATGATGAGATTATATGTGATCTCCTTATGTGTTGTAAATTCTATCACTGTGATGAGGTTATACTGATGAGGCTGACAAGATTAGTGTCTTAATGCAATCTTTTCTGAGATATAAAAGAGAGAAGCGAGCAGAGACACATAAGAACCTCATACCACCAAGAAAGAGTGCTAGGAGCAGAGCGCGTCCTTTGGACCTCAGGTTCCTGCGCAGAGAAGCTCCCAGACCAAGGAAAGACTGATGCATTACAAGGACCTTTCTCCAGAGCCAACAGAGAGAGAAAGCCTTCTCCTGGAGCCAATGTCCTGAATTTGGACTTGTAACCTACT